ACAGAGCATTGTTTTTGTAATGAATTAGATGTTTGAAGTTTGAGGTTAGTAATCCAAGAAGATTGTAATTTGTAACCAGGAGTGTTTAAGTATATATAGGAGATAAGTGGAATAAGTTGGAATTTAGATGATGAACTATTAATATTATCATGTGTATTAAAGTCACCAAGTAGGATAAGATGAAGGTTAAGTTGTTGAGCTTGTTGAATCCATGTAATGATTATATTTTGTGTTTTATTGCATTTATGTATGTTAGTTGAAGAAAGATAAACAGCTATAATATGCAGTTTTGTTTTATTTTTGAAAAAAAGATCCAGAGCAATTGCTCTACCAGGATGTGTTTGGCAGTTATGTATATAAGGTTGTAAGTATTTACGAATCATAATAGCAACACCTTCAGCTGAATTGTCTGAATTAGCCCAGAAGTATGTAAATAGATTATTGTTGTTAGTAAGTTTAGTTTCAGTAATACAAACAATGTCAATATTGTTGTAAAGATAATAGTTTTGCCATGCTTCTCTTTTAGTTATAGTATTAAAACCTCTAAAATTGTGTGTAGTGATTTTGAGATATAAATCACATGTATTCTGTATAAGTAAATCTGATGAGATAAGATTAGAATTAGAAGAGTGTGATTTAAGAGGGAGGTTGTAAAACTTAGGAAGAAGATAAGAGGGAATAATGATGTGGTTAGATAGAAGTAAGTTATTGGGAAGGTATATATAAATTTCATTATTATTAATATTAACAGAGAAAGTAATGCTGGTAACAGTTTGGTTGGAGTTATACTTGTTGATATGTTGTATAAAGGTTTAAATAGTTTGGTTACAAGGAAGAAGAGGAATATTGTAATAGGAAAGAAATTTGTTGTAACATATTTCAAGATCATATGAGGCTAAAGATGTTGAAAATGATCTTGTGGAGTTGTCTTCTACAAGGTCGATCACCATATGCTCGGCTCTCACAGCTGTGCAAGGTACCATAGTCTGCCCTGTGCATTGGGTCTGACCATCATTATCCTGGCCTTCCACATAAATTCCTTCTTCATTTAAACCAACAAATATATAAACAATTATGGATTCCATATTGTATCTCATGTTCAGCAAAGTTTTCAATTACATTTTCTATATACTCAACTCATCTTTCTCTTTCTAGTCTACTATTACCTCCTATTTTAATATCACAAATTATTACTAAAATTAATCTTTGAACTATCCAATGGATTAAATATCATATTCCTCTATTATATATTATTACTAACACCTAAATCTAGGTAAGTCTTGGCTACTCTTGTAGATTTAGATTGCAGATTATATGTCTAAGTCTTTATTCTTCATATATAATTTAAAAGTAAGCTTTTCTTTGTAAAAACTTCAATTGAATTTCAATAAAGTTAAAGGCATGGCCTCAACATTAATATTTTTTAATAAGCTCTTTTGGTCATCTCATTAATCTTAAATCCAATACTATCAAAGCCAAATCTTGAGCCCAGAATTCATAACTAATACCTTATAGAGGACAGTTCAAATAAAACTTAAAAGCTTCTATTGGCAAAGAGTCTTTTGGCTACTTTGTCTCTAAAACTTGAGCTGCACACTTTTTGAGACCATTTATTGCATACTGAACTGCATTCTCTTTTGTAAGGTTACACCAATCTAGAATTTTATAAATTCTAGAAATTGATGCCAAACAACTTGAAAGTTCAGATGCCTATCCTTACATTTCCATCCATGTAACAAATGCCAAGACCATCAAACTTGAAGCTGACAAGGAGGAACTATTTATTTCTGTAGAAAACTTTAAGAAAATTTTTTATACTTTTTTTAACCTTTTACTATAAGCTTCACTGATAGAGGTTTTTATTAAATACTCTGCATGAACTAGACATTTTTGGACCAGTCTATTTTTATTACTCTTAACCTTTATTGATTATTGTTGCAAAGTTCTAGAGAAAAATTCAATCAAAAAAAACTCTTTCTGCAGATCCATTGCACAAAAATTAACAAAAATTTGTCTGTCTAAAAACTCTTATAACTATTTATTTTACTAATATAATCTGTTCTGAGCTCTTAAGTAAACTTGTTCAGCTCATCATTTTATATATATTCTGCAAATATTAAGCTTTAATAACTTAAATAATCAAGAAAACTGTACTGATGGCTTTTGGTCTCTAGTTTATAACATTTAATTATCTCGCAGTTTCTACTGTCTTAATCTGTTCTATACCCTTAATTAAAGTTGTAATATACAGTCACCTGGTCAAAACAAGCTCTAAATGAAGATTTTTGACCCAATATTGGTTGAACTACAACAAAATTTAATATTTATTATCTTGTAAAACTTTTTTTTTACTTTTTGTCTTTACCTATTCCCTTTTTACCTTACATGTTTTTCATATAACCATACAATCATTTCCAAATCTATATCTTATTAATTTGCACCAATATTTGTAACCAATCTATTTATAGATATTCATTCAACACAATCTATTATTATTATATTTGGTTTTTATCTACATTACACAGTAATTTGTATTTACAAATTATATTTATGCCCAGTGCCCAAGTCACAGTAGTGACCCTAACCATTCTAGTTACACTCTAGCACTATGCTAGTAACATTTTCACAATACAACCCTTGTTTTTATTTACTACCCTTACAAAATTAACACTTATAACCATATTTGCTATTTAGCAAAATTCTCTAAGTCTTAATTCTTTTTTTTCTTAATTCCTATCTAATCTGCAAATATTGCAAAATGCCTATATTAACTCATCAAAAGTCTGATACTGCAGACCTTAATTACTTCTATCAAAACTTCTCTAACAGTTTTGGAATCACTCTTTATAAAGAAGAACAAGGCAACAAGACTTGTCCAATTTCTCCTAAAATCCAACCAACCTCCTGCTTAACAAAAAATCTTAGATCACATAAGATTATATATTTTTTTCAAGCTCTTTCCTCTACCTTTGTGATTACTTAACTCTGCAGCAAATATCACACCAAATTTATCTCACCTACCAATACTAACCACATTCAAGATACTGACTTTACTACTGCTCACATCAATAGCAACTTCAAAAAACTCAACAAAACAAGTTAAGATCTTATATCTAATATTTTTTCTTCTACTAACAATGTTCTTTCATCTCCTACACCTAATGTACACTACCATACCTGTCCAAAATGCTCTGTTCCAATTGGTTGTATCAAGAGAAATGAGTATCATTATCCTATCGAAAAATATGTTACTAAAAACAATGAAGTCTATCATCTTACTTTATGACTGCCTCATCTTAGCATGAAGCTAGTTCATCTCAAACAAAGAAAAACCTTACTTAAACTTTTTAAAATATCTTAATAGAATCCAACCAAACTACTAATTCCAACACCAATTTTTCTAACCAAACTTCCTCTATTACTTCTGATCTTATCAACTCTTTTTTTGCTACAACTATCTATACTAATCCTATTTCTAATCAACCTCTAACAATTCTAACTTAAACCTTAATAATTCTAGTAATACTAATCAACCTAACAGTACCTCAAACAAACCTTCTCTTTAAACTTACTCCAGTGTGGCCAAATCAAAATCCAATTCCATATATGACTGGCTTGCAAATTTTTTAATTACTGAAGAAATACAACCTAATAAAAAACTACAGACCATATTTTCTCTTCAAGTCTTTACCTTTCTCAAAAAATTTCTCTATAACTTTTATCCTGGTAAAGAAATTAAACCAGCTATTTCTACCCAACCTGCACTCAAGTTCTTATTCTATTACATTATTCGCATTATGACTGGACAATGACCAGAATTCTTAACTGATCTTATTTACAGTAGCAATCCCAATATTGACAAAAGTGTTACTACTTTTCAATTTACTTGAATCTACTCTTAAAAACTTATTACTTAAATTCACAACTATCCTTTTCACAAAACTCAATTACCTTGAAATCTTCACCTCACCAGTTACTATTTCTCTATATACTGCTTACAATCATCTTCAACTCTGCCTTAATCTTACACAACTTCATCTTTTTTTATCTAATAATTATCAATCAATTGAGTACCAAAAATTTGCTAAAGATTTAAAGCTTAGACCTAAAAGATTCAAAATTGAATCTTTTACTTAAACTACTGACCTTGACCAAAAATATCTTACCATTTAATCAGATACTAGATTTAAAATCAAGCTCTTTTTCAATATTTCAAAAACACTGTTTCTCAAAAGATTCTGCATTCCCTCTCTAAAGAACTCTCTTGATCACTTCAATTCTTGGTTTGAAACCTACTACCCTTCTTACAGTTGACAATTTTCTTCTACTATTGACAAAGAAAAAGTTAAAACTTCTCTTAGAATTCAATTCCATCAGCACTTTATTCTTCAACTCTTCAAGCACCTTCCTGAATCCTACATATTCCAAAAACCTAATTCATTTCATGAGTGACATGAGGAAGCATCTCATGTTGCAAATTTCCATTGTTTCACTTGTGACAACAAATTATGTCAATATCTCAATGACAAAAAGTTCCATGATAGCACTAAACTCTTTAATGAAATACTTACCAAATCTTATTTATCATTCCTACCTAAAGAGGATAAAACATGAATTCGTCCTACTTTCAACACTACACTATTTTATAAAAACAAAAAACATGCTGCCTAACTTAACCAACCTATTCTCACCAAAGCTCTGAACAAGTTGGCTGATCAAGCTAAAAACTTTGTTTGCGAACAAAACAAAGTTAAAACTAATACAAAATGTTGCAATTACCACTTTTACTGCTACCTTTCACTATATTACCAAACTGTAGCAGAAAATCACAACATACAGTTTCTTTTCAAGAAGGAGGCAATTAACTTATTAACAAAAAACATTATTGATACTAAATTCCTTGCCCAAATTATTACCTATTTTGATATTATCAAAAATCAAAAATCTATCTACTTACAAATTGTCAAATATTTCAATGATACTGCCTATTCTGCAGCTAAGAAATTTTTAGCAAAAAAATTCAACCTTGACTTCCAACCAGTCTCTATCCTTGACTCTCTCTTCCTACAATCTTTTTTTTAAGTTCTTTGTTTTCTACAACTAACATTAAAGTAGCCATCACCTTATTAAAAAAAACAACCACTGTAGTTAATAAGGAAAATGAAATAAGTAGGCAGATAGACAAGCCTATTTATATGGAAAGCCATGTTAATAATAGTCAAACCCAATGTACAGAGCAAACTATGATACCTTGCACAGCTGTAAAAGCCAAGCATATGGTGATCGACCCTGTAGAAGACAATTTTGAAAGATCATTTACAACATCTTTAATCCCCTATAATCTTTACACATGTTTTAACAAATTCCTTCTTTATTACAATTTACCACTTCTTCCTCATGGTCAAACCATTCAGACCTTAATCCAACACATTGACAAATATAATAACAACAAAACTGTATCTAGTATCACATTCTCTGTTAATTCATCTTACAATAAAACCCATATATAGTTTCCTAATGACACTCTTCTGTCAGATCATATTATTATTGCTCTACATCTTCTTTCACTATTCTATAAACTTCCTCTTAGATCCAATCCTCTTAGCTTTACTCCTATCTTATCTGATCCTCTCTCTAATAATCATTACTTAACTCCTATTGATTATAAATCTACTTCACACTCTCCTAACTTAAGTTCTTATTATCTTAATCTAACTATTGCTACATACAATGTTAGAGGTTTTAATGATCTAACAAAAAGAGAAGCCTGGCAAGATTACTGTCTTAATAATAACATATCTATTGCCAGTATTATTGAAACAAAAATCTTCAATAAAACTAACCTTTTCTTTTGCAACAACAATTTTTTTACCTACTACTGGTCCAACTCTCCTATCTCTATAGAAGGAACAGCTATCATAATTCATAATCATCTTAAACCTCATATTCACAATATTTATACTTATCTAGAAGGAGCTATTGCACTTGACATTTTCTTTCAAAGCAATGTCAAACTTCATATTATCTCAGTATACTTCTCATCTACCAACATAGCTATCTGAAACCAAACTCAAAACACAGTAATCAACTGAATTCAACAAGCTTTTCAACTTCACCTTCACCTATTATCCTTGGTGATTTTAATACACAGGATCATACTTACAGCTTCTCTTCTAAATATAAACTTATCAACTTTCTTAACTAATTCAATATATATGATATTGGAACTCATTTTAACAACAAACATTTTACTTAGTCTAACAACACTAGTAGTAGTCATATTGACTACATCTGGACTGACCAATTTAATATACAATTCCTTTTTTTCTACAGTCTTGACAACAGCCAAACCTCTACCTCAAGTGATCATTTAATTTTTACCTCTACTTGAACATTTCCACATGCCTATAGTAAACCTTTATAAAAACATACTGGAATCAGTCATTATATATTTAATTATAAAACAATAACTACAGAAGACTGGAACTCATTTGCTAATACCTTAACTCAACAACTTTCTCAACACAAAACTCCCAGTGATAGCACTACAGATGAAAGTATTGAAACTACTTGGCACAAAATTCAATGCTCTATAATCTATGCAGCTACTTATACAATTCTCAACAAAATCTCTCACAAACGAAGCTACAACCACCAGTATTCATCCATAGTATCCTACTACATATCTTTCTTAAAAAACTTGGACATATTATTAAACTTATTAAAAAACTAACCCAAACTTCTAACATCTCAAATACCAATCAAAACATCTCCCAAATTAATAAACAGTCACAATGTGATCTTCAATTACTTACATTCATTTATCCCTCCTGTATTCAACTATGGCTTCAACATGCCCACTCCATTTGAAAACAACTTTACTATGCT